ACACACCCCTCTACACACCCCTCTACACACCCCTCTACACACCCATCCTTCTTCCTGGTAACCTAATGGTCAAAATGCATAATCATATACCTGCTATACGCCTCTGTCCAAGAAAGTCAAACATCATCTTAAAATAATAAATAAATGTCTGAATTGGTGAGTTTCATTGTTTTCAACAATTGCTTAAAGTGCGTCATTGTCACCTTGAGTTGACATCATTCGGTTCAGCCTCAGTGAGGAAACGTTGGGTGGAAAAAGAAACTCTGACCCCACACGGTGAACTCTGACCCAGCAGGGAGATTAGGTGATGCCAGCAGAAGTTTGGAAAACCGTGGTCAGTGTTGAGAGAGAATACTGAGCTTGTCATGCAGCACACCTAAAATCCCACCCATGTGATTTTATAATCGTGATTGACCCATTTAATACTCTAATCAAAGGACACTGCGTGTGCTGGCTGCACAATAGGTCATTGTTATGTTCGCTAAGCTTCTTACTACTGTAAATAGGTCGACCTAATATATGATGTGTTAGTGCCTGGTGCCCACCACCTTGTTCCCTTTGCCGTGTGTCATGCGTGCCCCCACGCCAGGTCCATTGAGCCCTCTGAAGTTCATCGAGAGCTGGCTATAGATTGGCTTGCACATTTCTAATCCTAACTCAAAAGAATGTGTTGAAAAAGTCAGAATAAAGACGGTGGACGTTTGTCAAAGTGTAGCTTAGTCTGCGTTTGAATTATGGGGTCAGGACGCAAACTGGGTCATGACTTTGTTTCTTGTTTCCTCATGACATGGAAACTAATATTTTTTTAATGAGTCTGCTCTGTGGGGAGAGAGGAGTGTGACTGGGTGCAAACTACAGAGGAAGGAAGTTCACGGTGTCATTACAGAGGAACTCGAGTTTTGGTTCATCATGCTCACACAAAGCAGCTGTCTGCCATCTGCTGGTCACAATAACAGTCTGCATCTAGATTAAAAACACGACATAAGGGCATAATGTACATCACATGGCTGAGGTCAGGGTGAACATGTTTGATTAGTGTAAGGACTGATGTATATTGGATCTTCTCCTCCGACCCTGCAGCTCCCCAACATGTTTGGTGCTCTGAGCTCCACCATCATGTCTCTGATGATTGGCTCCTACGCCTCCTCTGCTGTCACCTTCCCTGGAGTCAAGGTAAATGAAAAAGGTTAAGTTGACAGAAATGGACACGGTTTTCTCAAATAAAGCTTATGATTATATATCCTTTGTACCACATTATGGAGCTTTTGGAATACAAACAATGTTATGGGTAAAATCAGACAGCATTATTGGATCAGTTTAGACAAAAATAACATCATTGTGCCAATGAGGTTTTAACATCCGAAGTGGCAGGATCAAGTGATGGATGATTTCCCTTTTGATTGTTTTAGTGTCTTCCAGCTAATTAAGCATGTGTGCTACATTCACACATTCGCGATAACTTAACGAGGTGGTAGTATGCCAGTGTTGTGTTAACAACTTCTTCTGTTGCCACCCAGTGGCCAAAAACATCGCTGGCTACCATTTTAAAAGGACAAGTTGCTTCAAAAGTAAAACAAGCCTCTTGCTCCCCCTCTCCCTACTCCCCAGCTGATCTACGATGCAGGTGTGTCCTTCCAAGTGATCATGTTGATGTGGACAGGTCTCGCTGGGTTTGTCTGTCTCAACTGCTTCCTCAACTGGCCCACTGAAGGTTTCCCAACGCCTGACGAGGTAGACTACAGGTCAGTGTGTCCGCCGGTCTGTTGCCCCATCTCTTTCCCAGAGACGCCAAACTCATACCATCGTTCCTCCACTCCATCCTCAACGTGTGTGTTTATCCATAACAGTAAGATCATCACACTGCCAGAGCTGCCTTCATCTGACGAGAAGACTGATGGAGAGCTACTGAGCCAGAAAAATGGAGACATCCGACGCTCCACAGAGAAACTTCCTAATGGATCCGACTCTGCGCCCAGTAAGTCATCAAACACTCTCGCATCTGTTATGCTCCCAGCTATTTACTTTATACCACCGCCTCACACTGCATTCGGCTTGTGTGTGCAAAACTATTCTGAATTCTTCCATACGTCAACAGGCTGGGACCAATTCAACCAAAATATTGTTGTTTTAAATATATTTCTTTAAAGGGCTTGAAGAAATAAAATGAGGAATTTACAAGAAAATAATAAAAACATTTAGTTTTACAGATGTTCTTCCTATCTATCCTGTGAATCATCTTGTGACGGCTCAGAGATATCTTTTTGCTTCTGAAGATACATCTGAGTGGTCACAATAAGGAAAGGTGTTCTCCCTTGTGGGATTTATACTGTATGACACAACAGTAAGAAATCACCTTTCATAAGCTCCTCTCCTATGTATGTTACAATGAATAAATGCACTTGCGTTGAACAAACCGTCTCCTCTTCTCACAGATGCTACTCCCTTCAGACGGTCCGTATTCTCTCCCATCTTCCTGTGGAGTCTGGTCACGATGGGGATGTCCCAGTTGAGGATCATCTTCTTCATGGGGGCGATGAACAAGATGCTGGAGTTTATGGTCACCCGCGGTGTTGAGCATCGTGAGTGTCAAAGCATAGTGTCGTTTTTTTTCCGTTATCAAGAGCATCTAAAAGTTACTGACAGAGATGGTCTTTGATTTTATATTTCAGCATCCGAGCAACTGGTGCTTGAGGCAGAAAAGAAAGGTGAGTAACGCTTCAGCTCTAAATGTATATACTTTATATAACTTTTCTGGTATGTCTTTTCATTTTCTTTCAACTTTATTTGATTTAATGGGTTCTCCTTCAGTGAGTTTCTACTCGTCCATCTTCGGCACGCTGCAGCTGCTGTGCCTGGCCACGTGTCCTCTGATTGGATACATCATGGACTGGAAGATGAAGGAGTGTGAAGAGGAGAAGACCGTCGGCACAGAGCAGAGGTACATACAGTGTGTCATATCTGATTAAAAAGCAGTAGAATCAATAATAATGATGAAATTGTGGTGGTAAGAAAAGAGTATTCTAAATACAGACATACACATGAATGTTGGACGGTGTCGTTATAATGGGAGGGGCCCAGTATACTACTAATACTAAAACCCCTCTGTGTCTGTGTCCCAGCAAGCAGACCACTGTACCCAAAAGAGACCGTAAGATCCAGAAAGTGACCAACGCCATGAGGGCCTTCATTCTCACCAACGGGCTGCTGCTCGCTTTCGGATGCTGCTGCCTCATAGACTGCCTGCCTCTACAGGTAGTGCGCACACACAAACACATGTTAGGACAGCGAGAGAACAAGGAAACAAGTAAAGAATAAGGTCCATTGATTGTGTTCCTTTTCTCTCCCCTCAGATCTTGACCTTCATCCTCCACACTATGGTCCGAGGCTTCATCCACTCCTGTTGCGGAGGCCTTTATGCTGCTGTGTGAGTGCTGCACTGCTAATTCATCCCCTGCATCATCTGACGCTCTGTTTAACAAACTCACATCTTAGAGGAAATATGGAAAACATAACCGTAGGGATCTAACTTTTTAAGTTTCCCACTTAAATTACAAAGCAATCGTTAAAGTGGCGTCATGATTGGATATATTTTGAACAAAGTAGAAATACATTGTTTTGTTACATTTCCCTCTCTAATCTGGGGCTCTGTCAGTAACCACCTGTATCTCTCTGACAGCTACCCGTCCAACCACTTTGGCACTCTGACGGGCCTCCAGTCCACGATCAGCGCTGTGATCGCTCTGCTGCAGCAGCCGCTCTTCATCGCCATGGTGGGAAGGCTGAAGGGAGACCCCTACTGGGTGAGGACGCACACCCTTTTTTCTAACTCCATACGCCTGCAGAGAGTGACAAAATAAACTCTGGCACCCACCAAGAGCTACATGACTAAAAACTTTCCATCTCTGTCATCCAACTATCCTTCAGATCAACCTCGGCCTCATTATCTTCTCATTGGCTGGTTTCCTGTTACCGGGTTACCTGTACTACCACCGCAGGCAGCTGCTGAGGGAAAAGGAGGCCAGAGACAAGCGGGCGGCCGAACAGGAGATGCAGGCTCTCAACGACAAGGCCAACGGCTACAAACCTCACAGCAACGGCCTCGCTGCTGCGGAGGCGTAGAGCGACACCGAGCGGAGGGTCGGGGGAATCGTAGTATTTGTACTCGTCTTCAAAATGAGCACCAGCAATCTACACATCCATGTGTATATTTTTGTTTAGATATTTCCAGTTGGATTTTGGTCATTGCTGGTGCACATTTTGTTCGCCACAATCCATACCCTCGAGCAAATAGGATTCCTCATGCTTTGTTACGACTCAGAGTTGGACTTTAAGTTCTTTGTGATTTCGGGAGAAGATGTGTCATCATCGTTTGTTTATTTATTTTGGTTTATTGGCCAAATTAGTGTGATTTGAAGCCATAGATTTCACTCACAAGCACACACCCTGGTACTGCCTGTGTGTCAGACTGCGGATATCACAGTACTTGAAATACTGTTGTATAGTTTTCAAAGATTTCTTGAACAATCATCACAATCTTTGCTGAGACCAAAGAACAGAGTTAGAAAAGTTTCCGTTTTTCCCTCCATATTGTTTCAGAAATATGATAAATGAAGCAAACTTGTGGTAGGAGATACTTTGCTGTTTCTACTTTAATTCCTCTGGCAAAAACTAAAAAATATATAAAACAAAGCATCCAACAGAATACCAGACTTCTGGCACGTAGAAAGAAGCGGTTTGGGTATTTTCGGAGTCCAGTTTTTCACACAGATCACGCACAGATAGGCTGGTTGTAGAGACACCACATCTACCTCCTGTTTTTTGCACCGTCTCTCTGCAACCGACTCGTATGTCTGTCCATTGAAGTTATTTTTTCCGCTATTAATCCTTTAATTGTCAAATACCCAAAATGTCAAATTGAATCCCTACAGAATTTCTCCTTGTGCAGTAATGCTCTTTGGAGGTATTGCTGAGTCAGCCCTTGCATTTCTGGATTTTTTTATGTGTAGGAAAAACATGTTTTTATTGAAAATTCACACTGAAAAATAAGACTGACTTTTACACACACAGTGTGTGTCAATGTTATGAATCACTTTGTACTGCTTTATGCACAGCAATGAACTAGTGTGTGTGTAAAATGTGTATTTAAGTGTATTTTTATACTCTAGCTGCAGTAGCATTAAAAAGGGAAGCGTTTGTTACAGTATCCTTTATTGTGTAGTGTGCTAATTATAAATGAAGCTTAGATGATTTACTGTGTATTCTGCTTTTGCCTTTTTTGTCACGTATTGATTGTGAAGCAAACACATCTCCATCAAAATTGTTTTTTTTGTAAATAGAACTGAGGAGTGTCTTTATTTTATGACATATTCTGCTTGCTTTACTATACATATTTATATATATATATATATATATATATGTATATGTATATATGTGTGTATGTATGTATATATGTATATATATATGTGTATATATATATGTATATATATGTATATACAGTATATGTATATGTATATATGTATGTGTGTGTATGTATATACGTATATATGTGTGTGTATGTATATATATGTATATATATATGTGTATGTATATACGTGTATGTATGTGTATGTGTGTGTATATATATATACTGTATGTGTATATATATGTGTGTATATATATATATGTGTATGTATATACGTATATATGTGTGTATATATATATATATATATATATGTGTATATATATATGTATATATATATATATATATGTGTATGTGTGTGTGTGTATATATATATAGTATATATGCTGTATGTATATATATATATATATGTGTGTGTGTATACAGTATATGTATGTATATGAGTGTGTACAGTAGCCAAATTGATGAGTGGGAGACACTGGCTGTGGTTAAACTCGTTTTTTTTAATTGTGATTTTTCTGCTTGGACGCTCAAAGTTCCATTGAAAAGACAGTGTTTCAGCCAGCTGCAGATCAAAATCTGTCTATCCTGTATCCGTTTGTTCTGCTCACAGCAACAGTATCTTGTAGATTTATGAATTCCTTTTATCCATTTCAGTGACAAGATAGCTTTAGTAGATTTTTTCCTGCTTTATAGTTATCCTTCGTCCTTTAAATGTGTTCAGCTTCATGAATCTTTGCTTTCTCGCCATTAGAGATTCTGTGTTTTGTTTCAACTCTGTGCCTTTCTTTCCATCTGGGTCTTATTGCAATATAAATACGAATGCAAGATTAATGCCTCTACCAATCATCTTTCACTGTAAATCAAAGCCATGTGAAGGAACTGTAAACTAGTTGATAGTACAGCACTTTCCTGCAGGACCTTACAACAAAATGCATTAGTCCTGCAGTAAAGCACAGTTTGGTTTTTGTTGATTGTGATTTCTGAGTCTGTCGGTTCCAATAAATACTGAGTGGAGAACAATCTGTGTTGCCGAGGTTTCCCAGTTTGGCATTTGATATTACTTTCCTCTTTTACAGTAGTTTGTAATGTTTGAAAACAAATAAGTCCTAAAACTGACGTCTTTGTATCTCTGCAAGTTGCCTTAAAAGTTCCTTGTTGTCAGACCTTTTTTTTTGCCTTTGCATTTGGGATTCAAAGTTGCTGCCTGAATTGTTGGAGCGAAGATTAATCGACACCTCCGACAGACTCGACATCAAAAATAAACATTTTCTTGTCTGTATTGTAAGACCATCCTCTACAGCGGCTTGTCTAATCTTCTCTCTTTACCCTTGGGGTTGAAGTGTTGGTATGAGTTGCTAAATGTATGCCTTATTTTCCTGCCTTTAATCAGTATTTGCAGCTTGTGCATTTGTTAAATAAATGAATGGCTGTAAACACATTGTACTTAACTTGTGTTTTGTTTTTTTGCCAACCATGCAAACAATTTTCTCAGAAACAACATACCTCAGCATCAGCCATGTTGGTCATTGTTGTTGTTACACTGCTGCATTTTAAACCATGCAACTCTGTTTGATCATGTGACCTACGCGCCCACAAGGACTTATAAAGGAGACGCATGCAAAGATAATAACCAAAAGTTTATTTGATTTTGGCAATATGGTCAAAAGATATCACAACAAAATCAAAGAGGGACATACATACAGTGCCTGCTCAGTCATCCATAACACCACTCAGCTCGTCTCTGCCTTGTACACTGCTCTGTAACATGTCTTTACATCATCACACACATCAACTGTGTCGCTGCTCCTTTCACTCTCACACGCATCATACAACCATTTGCATTACTTGATTCATCTCATTAAAACATACTCCCAATAATACAATTATCTGTAAAACACACACACGCATCCTCTTACAAAATGCACAGTCTCACACACGCTCAAACGCCGGCATGCACACAGTGGGCTCTTGTCTATCTGAGGCTGTTGCTGTTGGGTTGTGATCCAGCGAGGCCGGGGTGGTCGGGACTGTGGCGGTTCTGGAAGGGGACAAAGATGTAAACAGACCGTTTTTATGATATGACATGCCTTATCAAAAACGATACAATTACAGATCTTTTGCTCAAAAGCCACACATGTTCTCAGAAAAGACAAAAATGTGCAAATGTATGGGTCCCAGAGTACAGAAGTCTGGCAAAACAAACATAATGGGATGATGTAACACATCCGATAGAAGCCACTGGGTGGGTTGGAAACTGTTTGCAAATAGATAGAAGTCATAGCTTTAAAAAAGCAATAACAAGTCAGAGCTGTTTTGAAGCTCTTTCACACTCTAGTGTTGGAAAAAAGTTCCTACATGAAACTGCTCACGACAAGGTCTGTGGATTATCTTAACACAAAGAGTCATTGCTTTTGAGTTTTTAAAATTAATCTTTTTGAGCCGAGTGCATTCTAGTCCCTTTATATTCGGGAGAAGCAGACATCTGTACGGCTGATATCTCCAACTCACAGCAAAACAATCTAGATCTGGATTGATAAATAACACTACAAGTAAGAGGAAAAATACGTATTTTTGGGTGACCTGTTCCTTTATTGCAGCTTTAAGTTTAATTATTACCTTCATTTATATTATGTATTTTGTGAAACACTTACAGTCTCTAACCATAACCACGCCTAATTGGCAACTTTATGAATTATTGGTAGCTTGACAAATTTTCTTACCTTCTTCTTTTTCTTGTCTTTCTTCTTTTTCTTGCGGTCAGGATCGTCGTCCCTTTTCTTCTTCTTCTTCTTGGGATCAGTGTCTGATGGAGTTTCTGTGACGTCAAAAAGAAGCAGCTCAGTTGCCTGAAAACACGCTGCATTATTTTGCGCTAGTGCATACGTAGAGTTTGTCAGACCTTGTGGTAACGGGTCCTGTAGTCGGTGGTGTTTGTGCTTGTGTTTGCTCTTCTTCTTTGGAGGCTGTATGTGCATCAGTCTGTACTGTTCTGGTAGCTGGGAAAAACAAACAAAAACATGCCTGCATGTAAATATTGAACACAAGAGCACCTGTAGGCTAGAATATGCCAACTAATAAAACTTTGCCATACTGTGTATATATATATTTATGTTAATATATCGATATATTGAGTACGTACTGGTCCTGTGTGTAGTCTGAAGCCTGTGAGCAGAGCGCCTGTCAACGGGCTGAAGGAGTTCCCACACACTGGAGGCTTATCGATCAGAGAGCGCAACGAGCTGCCGTCCTGAGTGCCCGGACAGTCGATCATACCTGCAGCACAGAAGAGGAAGGACGATATGGAGTGAGGGGGAAGTTCAGACATCGAAATACAAAAAAATGAAAGGACAAGGTCATGAACACACAGAGCACACAGCCATAAAGATGTAAAGGTGGTCAGCTGTAATCAATAAAAACAAACAAAAGTATTGTCATTTTAGGGGAAATTAGTAAAATTGGAATAGAAAGAACAATTATCAGGAATAAAGTAGCTTGGGGAAACTTCCGTCCTGTACTTCACATGAATCATTATCGTCACTACATTTATTTGTTTGTAATATAATGTGTGCAGTCTCCAATATTAACACCACGTTTAATTCCGACACGTAAAACCCACCTGGTAACTCTGGCAGGAAGTTGCTGAGCTTCTCCTTCACCTTTTTCCCACAGAATTTGTTGTAGGCGTGCTCCAGGTTGTAGTGAGTGATGAGGTTGGTGTTGCCCGTTAACTCGTTTCCCACTAAACACACACACACCAAGAGCACAGTTAAAACATAGTAAACATAGTGGATGTTTTAGTGTCACACAACCGAGATAAAGAAAAACAACCTCTGAAAAAACAGGTGGGCTCGAACCGGTAACGGTAATTAGCTTAATCGATATTTTCGGTAACACTTACCTTGCTAGCTAACCGTAGCTAGCATTGTTTACAAACTGCTTAGCAACCTTTTATATCAGCGCTACTCTGTTTTTAAATTAACAGACAAATAATACACAAAGCATTCAGCAGTTAACAATAACAACATTAGCCAGACAGTACCAGGAAGCTCTCGCAGTAAGTAGAAAGGTTCATTCATGGCTCCGGGCTTCCGCAGGGCAGGCCCTTCATCCCCGAGCTGCGGTGGCATCTGCCCCGCCATAGAGGCTTGATTTTGCGGCACAGGCGGCGGAGGCTTCCCTGGTCCGAAACCCAGAGACGACGAGCCGGGAGGTCCCTGAGCTTCGTTTTGCCCGAACAGAGTTGAAAACATTTCCGTCATATCTATCACAAGTAATACATTTATATTGAAAGAAAAAGTTAAGTTTCGTCAAGCGCGTGGCCTGTTTTTTGACAGGGTGTTCACCCTGAATCCATCCGTGTGTGAACAACCCGACTCCTCACTTCTTTGTGGCATTATTTTCATGGCCCATGTACCGTAATACCAGGCGTAAACACGCATATTACCATAATGATTGGTATATGTACGCCCACACGGATACAATCACCCAGATCACAATTTATTTTTTAGATTTCAAGTTTATTTTCAGACAAACAGGCATGGTGAACAATTCCAAAATGTACAGTTAAGTTATTTGATATATCTGCAGGACAAATTATTTGAAGATCACACATCAAAGACATTGGTAGGGTAAAGAGAAGACGCCAGCCTTTCAAACTCTGTGACTGATGCCTAAAGGTGAAAAACAAAACATACAAAGAAAACTGTTCAAAGTCAAGACAAACTTCTATTTTATATATTCTTGTCATGGTGCACGCCTATAATTTGTCCGCCATCATAAGTTGTCAGACAGCGGCCTCCTGCACACTATACCAATGAAAAAACAGTTTTTTCTCCTTCATTCTTTAATTAAAAAAGCATCACTCCCATTTAAAATATATTCATGTTACTAAAACTTACCTGAGAAGTAAAATGCAGATTTTGATAAATACTGTTCAATCATGCAGTCGTCTCACTATTGTCACAAATACATTCTAGAGTAAAGACTCAAGCATTACTTACACATGCATTCCGTTAGTGAGTGTAAAAATAAACATGTTTAATGTGATTTTTAATAAATGATATCCTGTATAGCTCTAATATTTCATTTGACAATAGTTTCTCTCTCACCTTCCACTCATCAACAGTGGTAGAAATACGAAATTCAGTCTGAGCAAGACTCTCTCTACCAGCCTGGGCCTTCTGTGATAGGGCAGCATTCTCTGCTTGAATCTTTTTCAGCTCCTGTCGCATGTAGTTCTCCTGCTTTTGATAGTATGGCATCAAAAAGCTGCAAAAGTCCTGCTCAGGAACTCCACTCGGCCGCCTATCAAAACGAGGATGAAGATGTTTTGTATTTTAATCATGTTGCTAAATGGAAACATTATAGTGGTGATAATGAAGAAAGGCAATGCACCTATATTACAGGGCTGTTAGTGAGATTTGCTATATTTATGGCAAGTAAATCAACTATCTACTTGTTATTAAGTATTTGAATGAGTGGTGGTAATAGGAGCTGATGGATATCAGTCTTAAGATGTTGTCAAAGAGGGTACAAGTGTTTTACAGGGAATCAAAAGCATGACATGTAACCAGCTGATCATTTAATTGCAAAGAAAGCAGAAGGTGGTGGAAGGTGAAATGGTTGTGGTGGTGTTTACGGACCATGCAGGGTCTGCCTTCTTCTTGGCAGCACTCTCCAGCTGGTCCAGCTCATTCAGTTTGATCTCTAACCGACCTTCTTCAATCAATCTGCTGATGTCCTCCTTCAAATACACAAACACAGGCAACGACGGTAAGCAAATAAAAAGCAAAGGCAGGTAGAAAAGTACATATACAAACATAACAAGGCAGAAGAGCCTCCATTTGTTTTTAAATGTTTCATACATGGTACTAATGTGTGGTGTGCTGCGTACCTGTATGGTCCTCTGCAGCTCCTTAATGAACTGCTTGTGAATGCTCTCCATCCTCTGTGGGTTCTTTTTGTACAGCGGACGAAACGTGCTGGCAAATCTGTTAAAACTGTGAGCGAAAGCAGTGTCAACCAAAAGTGAAGCACATTGTGTCTTTTCCCAAAACACCAGACCGTTTCCCCTGCTTAACCAATCTATTACTGAAACGATTATTTGATTAATCTATAAATTCATCCACAGAAAAATAACTGACATGCTAAGTCATTTATCAAGAGAAAATGACATTTGATTCACTGTTTGGACAAAAAAAGCAACTTTAAGGTATCACCTTGGACTCCAGGAACCTTTTCACTACTGTCTGACACCCAACAATCCCTAAATTTAACAATAATAGAGATAATGGGGAAAAAAAATAATCTGCTGCTGCCCAGAGAGATACATTGTGTTATTATACGAAATGTGTAGAAAACTAGAAAAAAATATGGGAGTAATTATTATTTCTCAAAAACATTATAATCCTACATCTTTTAACTTAATTACAATAGGCAGTTATTTTCAATAAGGTCTGACTTCCTGTGACAGCTGTGACAGTGAATGCTGTCGTTTCGGGACTGATTTCCACCATAAACACACGTTACCTGGCATGGTCGATGAACTTCTCCAGGCTCTTCTGCATCACTTTGTCGAACAACTTCAGTCTCTTGTACCGAGCTGCTGTGTCCTCGGGAGGCTTACCAACTGATCCAGGGATTGACACCTGTGAGGAAACTTCTCCTGTGGCTTCATTAGCTCGGTTTACAACTGAGTTTGTACCACAAACGGGATCTACAGTCTCCTTTTGTGTTGCGGCTTCGCTTTCCTCCATTTTTCCTCCTCTTGTTTACGTTTTTTCAATACCCGCCAATTCTACGGCGAGTCGCTGCTCCCATAAACTACGAAATCGGTTTTTCTTAGCACATGCGCAGTTCGAGCTGGTCGCCAGGTCCGTCAGTCAGTTCCTTCCAGCTGTCATTCCTCCTCAAACCCCTTGAGGTTGACTGTCGTCTTTACCAGCATGGGTCTAATCACAGGACTCTGTACTTTTTTGTACCACTTACCTCAGATTTACAAATGGCTTCTGAAACCGTATTATATCTCCTCGGTTTTCATGACCGTCGCCTTCCTGCTGGTCCGAAAGGCTCCCGGTCTGTGCGAGTACCTGGCGACCCAGCGAGAGGACGGCAACTCCTGCGACTTCGACTGGGTGAGCGTGCATGGTGGGGA